CACACACACACACACACACACACACACACACACACACACACACACACACACTTCAGCGGTGGCCACGCCTCCAGCAAGAAATCGCTTCTCAATAGCAGTGAGTCCAGACCCTCGTATGAAGCAACGTGAAGGACAAGGGTCTGGTTTTTACCAGGCTAATAAATTGCAGTAYGTAGTCACTTTCTGAATAAAAACAGCAACTTACTGCTAATCTAAACTGTTTCAAGATAATTAGTCATTCTAAACATCCTAATTTTTTTAAATAGGAATTACTTTTGGAGCAACTATTGAGACATCTTTAGTCAAGAATCAGTGAAGTTATTGGTCAGGAGAATTTGGATTACTTCTATTATGTTATAAATCAGGAGGTTTTCATATTTACCGCCGCAGCAACTGTGTTTCCTTTATGTATGAATGTTTTAAAGTTTCTTTTTAGCTTTCAAGAAAAAAAATCTGTGCTGCTGTTTTTCAAGAGGGATCCCAAGCTCTAATCGCAGAAGTTAGCAGTGGAAGAGGACAATCTAAACTAGAAGTCTCTGAGGACCTGCTTGCTCATCTGATTGATATGTCCCACGCCTCATCCATTGTTTAGCCCTTGTCTCTGACTGGGGAGGATTTTGGACTTTAATCTGCATCAATATCATGATATGTCACCTCTTGTACATGTCCACAAACTACGTAGTCATATGCATCAAGTGATTTGTATGCTGGTAGCTTTTCTCTCGTGTAAACTCTAGGTTTTTCCACCGAATACGTGTTAATATTAGTCATGAATAGTAGGCCATTTGCTAACGTCATCCTCCCATTCAGTAACTGTACACGGTTCAGAAAGCTGATTGTCATTTGTCAACGTTACTTTATTAAAGTAAGCTTCGCGATCTTTTGTAGATAATCCGCTAGCATAGCTTGACAATCCTCCACTAGCCGCCATACTTCKGTTGCCACGATGCGCGCGCAGCTTCTTGACGACGTAGGCTGTGTCTATCATTAAATGTCTGTTTCCTGCTATAAATAAAAATCCTCAATTCTGTCCTTGTTCCTAATCAGGGTCAGGGTGGGGCTGGAGACTGTCCTAGCTGCCTTTGGGTGAAGACAGGGGACATCTGGACAGGTCTCCAGTCCATCAGGGACACAGAAGAGACAAACAACTATCCATTCTCTTAGTCACACCTAGGCTGTGTCCAAAACGGCAGGCCGGGTCCTCCGGAGGACCCAGACTACCCGGTGGCGGCGGGCCGGGTCCTTGGTAGACCGGGAAGACCGGAAAAAAAGAGGCTGTGAATTTGGACGGTCTAGCCTCCCCTCCTTACCCCGGCGTACGTAATGTCACCTAGCAACTGTGATGATGCTAAACAAGCAAACTTAAATCAAAACTAGAAAAATATCAACACATTAGCATTATTAATATCACAAAACTATAAAATTAACTTAAAGGTAACATTTGAAGAACTAATTGACCCGCTATAGGTGTATGTTTATTTTGCGTTTTTTAATGACAAAAATAATATTTAAAAACATGTCCATACAAATGATAAAAGTATTAGAATTATAACCGCTATTTTTTTTATTTTTATATTGCCATATTTTTATTTAAAATGTATTCTTTTCTCTCGCTTCGTCCGCCATTACTAGCTTAAAAAAATCTCCGGCCGGGCCGCAATACATTATGGGATACGCTGGGCCGGGAAGGATCCATCAGACCTGTCCTTCGGTTRGGGCCAAAGGAAGGACYTATTTGTCYGTCACATCGGAGGAGTCTTCGGTTTTGGACGTCCTTCGTCGCGGCGCTGTGACGTATGCGGCCGACAAATTGGGCCTTCGGAGGATCCGGCCTGCCGTTTTGGACACAGCCCTAGAGTCACACAGAAGAGCTCCAAAAGTGAGTCAAACTTTATTGTCAGGGGTGCTGAGTTCAAGTTTTAGTGCATGTTCTGGCCATTGATATATATTACTGGATTGGGCATGGCTAGCGCTTTGCTGGCTACATCGACGTGCACGCACTGGAGCTCTGTTATGCATTGAGGAGCCTCAACAAAATGAATGGATGTCAACAGACTGTGAGGCATGATCCTGATGAAAAATTCTTATAACCCTTATTTCTTGCTCGATTTCTACAAACTGTGGTTCAAAATAAAGCTGAGGAAATTGTGAATTTTATAGTTATGGAAATTTAAAACAGATAACTAATTTAAATGACTAAAACAGTGTCTTAAGAGATTTGCACTTCACTTGTGTTTTTTCACACAAATCAATGAGTTCTGACCAGCTGGATATTCATTCATACACTCCTGATCAAAATCTTAAGACCAGTCAAAAAAGTGCAAGAATTTGCATTTTGCACTATTGGATCTTAAGAAGGTTCTAAGTAGAGCT